CCCAACCTCCCGGGAGAGCTCGGCCCAGACACCCCGTGGGAAGAATTGGCAGCCACTCCCCCTCGTTTGTGACTCTTCCCGATTTGCCGTTTTATGTAAACTATTTATGTATGTATTTGTAAAGGTAGTAGAGCCCAAACGTGGTTCCTGCATGTTTCCGGAGACTCTTTTTAATTTTTCTTCCCGATAGGGGGGCGCGAAGCAGTCCGGCTCCCTCCATCAGGCCCTCTGGCAGCTTCTCCCTCTCTCTCTCTCTCTCTTTTGTATAGTTTGGAGGATTTTAGCAGTCAAAGAATCGAGAAAAACGGGAGTTTTTAATCAGTTGTTTATTTTTCTTTTAAAATATCATTTTGGCGTTTTCTGAAGGGCCCCGCTTCTTTGGCCCCCATTCCTGCCAGCCGGAAGGTTGAACAGTCGTGGGCAGCCTAGTTATCAATTGCAACGTTGCACTTTTTCTTGGGACAATTGAGAAATAAGCAAAGGGTTATTCGGCCTCCCTTCACTCCCGGTTTTTCCGTTTCCGGTAGCCAGTGCTTAGACTGTCAACGTCTCCCCAAATGGTGTCTGCCGATCCTGAGCCTCCCTTTCCTTGACCAGGAGACCCTCCTGCCTTCCATGGTCCCGTTCTCCTCCCGCCCCCCTCTCGAGAGGGGCACCAGGACTGAAGGGGGCGGGTGCCAGGAAACTCCCCCTCACCTTAATGAAGGTTTCAGAAATTTCATTTATTTTTTAGCCCAGGCCCTCCTCTAATAAAGTTCTAAGCATATCGACAATGTTTGCGGGTCTCTTGTTTTCCAAGCGGATTCGGTGGGTGGTTCGGAAACTGACCCCTCCCAACTCAGCAGCGGCTCTTAAGGGGCCCCATGTGCCACTGCCGAAAGGCAGAAGCTCACGTTATTTTTATTTGGTAGAGAAATGAGTATATGGGAAACAGAAGCTTCCTACTTTGTTAAGAGTTGGGTCCTCAGAAGACGAGGAAGAGGTGGGTCTGTTTCAGTGGTGGGTTCCGGCTGGTATGCACAGCGCACAGCAGCTGACAGTGTACCGGTACGGTGGCTCATTTGGCCCAGCCGCCCGAGTTCTATACCTGTTTTTGAAGCAATTGGCCAATTGTGCGCACGTGTATAGCATTCGGCGCTTGCGCAACCTGACAAGCAGCTGGGCGTCGCAGGGCGATGGAGTGCGCCTGCGTGGGTAGCACACATGCACAAACAGGACACGCGGCCCTGTGAGCAGCGTACCGGTAGCGCCGGGGAGAGGAACCCATCATCGGTCTGTTTAGTGGGTCTCGGAAGGTTCGTGTGGGCATCTTGCTCACCTTGGGTGGATGGAGACCCAGCACTTGGGGAAGGGGTCAACACACAGGGATTGTTTGCTTGGGAAGGTGGTTATCAGTTTACCACCAATAAAGGGAACTATCAGGAACTATTTTTACAATGTATTGTTGTAAGCCGCCCGGAGTCCTTCGGGATTGGGCGGCCTATAAATTCATTAAACATTCAAACATTCAGTGCCTCCAGAAATGGTAGAAGGTAAATTTCTTTACATCGTTAGCAATTCAACTACTACTACTAGTAGTAGTACTACTAGTACTGTTGGGAGTGCCAAAGCACTTCCATGTTGAAACAATTTCAACGGTGACCTCACGTTGCCTGGAGGATGCCCAGTTGAGGGTTCCTTCCACGTCCCCATTAAGTTACCCATCGAAGTGGTACCTATTTATCTACTCGCAGTAGTCTACTGACAAACCGCTGGGTCGGCAGGAGCTGGAGTGGGTGACGGGCACTCACTCCTGGCAGCAACCGGGTCTCGTACATGAACCTGCCAATCATCAGCCCAGTGTCTTCCTTCCCCTCATGAGCCTCGGCGCCCTTCGACTGAAGAGCCAGCCGAGCAGTTGTGGGACTTGGCCTGAGATGGGAAGCTTCTGCTTATCCAAAAGTCCCATGTTGCTCATGAGGCTCTTCAAGTAATGGACTGCAACAACGGACAGAGGGAACTAACTTATAGCGGCCGGTGAATCCCCTGGGCCAGGAGTGTCAAAACTTGATTCCATTGAGGGCAACGTCAGAACCGGTTTGAGGGCGTGGCCAGCCAAGTTACTATCTACTCGGCCGAACCGGTAGGAACCCACCTCTGCTAAGTATCCCACAAGCCGGTTCTACCCACCCTCCCCAAAGGCCTTGATTTTGACACCCCTAATCGGGAGTGTTTCAAACTACCAGGGTTGCAAAAGGTGAGGTTTGGAGCAGTGTAGTTATACTACAGATCTCAGAAAACGGGGCGTTGTTGGACTGATTCTGGAGCAGATCAGTTTCCTTCTCGTATCCTGGCAGCCCCCCTTCCTGGTTGCCACCAACACAGCCAGTGCTTCTCCTTCATGCCAACCTAGGTAGCTTGAAGACTATTCTGGAAATGTTAGGATCTCAACAACAAAAAGAGCACCAGAATTCAAATGCTACACTTCGTTCCCTTCTGCTGTTTTTGGCTACTGCTTCGGCCTGACTTTGCTAGCAGGGATTGGGATCAGGGATCTGTGGTCCAGCTTAAAATTTCTGTTAAACGAGTTTCGGAAAAATACGGAATTGGAGCCAATGGCTGGAAGCTGTGAAACCGATATTTGGGGGGGGGGGGGGAACGAGAGCAGGGACCTTCAGTGATAAAATTATTCCAATTTAAAACTGCAAACCCTTTTTTGAAACGGGAGGGGTTATCTTAGCAATGACTGCAATCCTGCATCTTGGCTGCCATTTTCACCCTGAAAGTTAACAGAGTTAAGAGTTGGAAGGGACCTTGGAGGTCTTCTAGTCCAACCCCCTGCTCAGGCAGGAAACAGTATACAATCCCACACAAACGGCTCTTGAGTCTCTTGTTGAAAACCTCCAGTGTTGGAGCACCCACAACTTCTAGAGGCAAGTTGTTCCACTGATTGTTTTCGTTGTTAGGAATGTTATCCTTAATTTTAGGTTGCTTCTCTCCTTGATTAGTTTCCATCCTTCGCTTCTTGTCCTGCCCTTGGGTGCCTTGGAAAATAAATTGACTTTGTGACTGCCCCCAGATATTGGAAGAGAACCAGAACCAACCTCCCTGAAGAACGTTAAAAACTGCAAACCAAGCCTGAATGAATCCACAGACACACAGTTCCTCTTTGTGTGGTTTGTGGTGGTTCACATATGACCAAGATGTTTGCAATGCAGGGCCCAGAGAACTGAGTGAGCCCTACTGGCGTTATTGGCAGCAGGACTCAAGCAAGGCTGGAGACCATTCCAATTCGCCTGAATCAGTTGTGGAAATCGTGGGTGTCACCAGGGGTGAAATCCCAGCAGGTTCTGACAGGTTCTGGAGAACCGGCAGCGGAAATTTTGAGTAGTTCAGAGAACCAGTAAATGCCACTTCTGGCTGGCCCTGCCCCCCAAATGCCACTTCTGGCTGGCCCTGCCCCCCAAATGCCACTTCTGGCTGGCCCCCGAGTGGGGTGGGAATGGGGATTTTGCGACGTCCTTCCCCTGCCATACCCATCAAGCCACGGCCACCTGAACCGGTAGTGGAAACCCGCGGGTGGGACCAAGGGTGAAATCCAGCAGGTTCCGACAGGTTCTGGAGAACCGGTGGCAGAAATTTTGAGTAGTTCCGAGAACCAGCAAATGCCACCTCTGGCTGGCCCCGCCCCCATCTATTCTCTGCCTTCTGAGTCCCAGCTGATGGGGAGGGATTGGGATTTTGCAGTATCCTTCCCCTGCCACGCCCAGCAACCCACGCCCATAGAACCAGTAGTAAATGGATTTCACCACTGGGTGGCACCACCCACCCATCCTGGCTGTATGGCATCCCATTTAGGCATTTTTTTAAAGTCGAAGTGCACATGCGCACTCACATTTATCGGTTCCCCTACGAACCGATAGGGAAGATAAATGACTTCCACCCCTGCTGGAGACAGCAACATCTCGAGAACTTCAGCAGGCCATCAAACTCAACGTGGTTTTGGAACATGCAACCAGTAAGAAGAGCGGGACTGTATTCCACATTTTATTAGTTAGACAGATGTGCAGAAAAACCAAAACTAAATTACCAAAAGGAGAGAGAGAGAGAGAAAGACAGACAACACAAAGAGAGGGGGGAGAAAAAAATATCGACGTTTGTTAACCTGGTCTAAAAGGAATTGAACCAACCAAAGAAGAGAACGAAAGAAAGAAATACTTAAAGAATTTCAGCACTGAAATGTTTACCCCAAAAGGATTCCAGTGTACTCCCTGCTGGTTTCAAAAAGGGCGAGGAACTGCGTCTGATTTTTAAATTTTACTTTTCGTTCCTTTTCAAATCAGAAAAATGTAAACGCAGACAAAAAGGTTATTAAAGAGAGGAGAGAACCAGGCCAGGGATGGCTCAAGTAAACAATTGTCCTCCAATCTCTTGAATCCACACGTCCGGCAAAATCGGTTGGATCCTGAAAGGGGAAACCAGCAAGTTGCTCGGCCAGAGAGGAACGTCGGTCTGCCGCAGAGAGGGGGGTGGGGAGAGGCAGCCCCGGCTGGCCGGCTGGGGGTTCCCAGCCCCCCCCCCTCCTAAAAACACAGCCCAAAGTAAGGACAGAGGCCTAACAACGCACCTCGCACACCACCAAGCTTCAGCATACAAGAAGTCACTGGAGAAAATACAGTCAAAATACAAGACAGCCGAAAGACGCGGCATCTTCATTTCAAGCCAAGGATGCCAATGCCGGACCCAGCGCGGACAGAGACACCCGCTCCCTCCACCTCGAGGACCCCATTCCAGGGCTGACCTTCGGGGTGCCCGTGGCAACAGCTTCCCCGTTTTTCTCCACTTCTGCACGTTTTCAGAGTTTGTAATGAGTTCCTCTCGCAGGAGGGAACGTAAAAATAAAATTAAGATTGTCCAAAGCCAGGCTCTTAACGCATTTTGATTGTTCTGTCCACTATCGTCGGTTCTTTTCATCCGTTTCCAATTTTTTGTTTCAAATTAGGGGCTCATCCAAACAGCCCTCCTTGTCCGACAAAGGGACCCACCCAGAGCTACCCCTTCTTTCCGCCAGGGGGCCAGAAGCAAAACTGAAAGCCTTTGAGGGAGGGGGCAGCAACCATCTCTAGTTCTGAAGGGCCGTCCAACCTGAGAAGACCCAACGGGGGCTCCGGGTCAGTGTGGGTCAAAGCGGGCCCTTCCCAGCTAGGATCCTGAGAGGCCCCCCGAGGGCCAAGCTCAGAAACGGGGCGAGGGAAAGGCAAAGCCAGAGTTTGAAGGAGAAGCGCAATTCCTTGATGGGTGTCTGGGACCATCCAAGCAATTTGATGGCTGGGGGGAGAAAGAGGGGGGTCTAACATGGCAGGTACCCTAGAAACTCTCACTGGGTCTTGGCTGGTTTCCCTTGAGACCGTCACTGCCGAAATAAGCTTGAACCTCCCACCGCCATTCCCCCAAAGCACTAAATCTTCTTATGGGGAACCCTTCAACTGGGCAGTTGGACTTGATGGCCAAGGAGCCATGGTCCCGACAGCATCAGCTCTGCCTCCCTGAAAGGAACACAAGCAATGCTCCCCAAAGACTCCGTTTTCTATTGGCTCTTTTGGAATTTGCAACCTGCGATCCTCATTTCCTTTTGGACAAATCTGTTTCTTTTTTCTCCCGCATTGATGTGGTGTGAGACAGGCTCAGTCCAAGCTCGGCAACTTGAAAACTTGTGGGCCTCACCTCCCCAGAGTCCCTCAGCCAGCTAAGCTATGCTGGCTGAGGGATTCTGGGAGTTGGAAGTCCACAAAAGTTGCCAAGGTTGGAGAGCCTCGGTTTAAGAAATGCTTTGGGGGCAACCGGCCTCTATCTATCCAGCCCCATGGATGCTTGCTTCTTCCTAAGAAAGGCCCGTCTGCGGCAAGGCGCCCGTTGCAAACTTCCGGGTGCAGGAAGCGGCTGGGTTTCCCCGAGAGAAGACTTGTTCCAGATCCCATCCTGTCCTCGCATTACGGCGCTGCTCTCCGCCATCGGGGAAAGAGGCAGCCGCTCCCTGGATGCAACCCTCTGTTAACTCGGGGAAAAGAAAACGGTGCGCATTTCGTCGTGTTTATTGGAAGATTCATATCACAAGACAACCGCTCCCGGTCTCGGACAATCCCCCCTCGATCTGCCTCAGGAGGTTTTTGGCCCTCCTTGTCAAGCTGCTAATCCCACCCACCTCCCTCGTCCCGACGTGAGCTTAGCAAAGTTGGAAATTGGAACAGCTGGCCTTTTCTGGCACCACATCCAACAGCGGCCCAGTTCAAAAACACAGAAGCTTTTCGCCCTCCACCTTGGGGAGGGGGGAGGAAAAAAATAACCAAAAAAGGAGAAAAACCACCATCGGCACCAACCACCACAAGGCTAAACAAGTGCGCACATGAGGAGCAGCGAAGAAGGCCCCGGAAAAGAAGAAAGGGTGGGTGGGATTCTATGCAAGCTCGCGGAGGAAGGTGTCGTTCCACTCCTCCACGGTCTCCACCGGGCGTTAAAATACATCAAAACCTCTTGATGAAAGACTGGGTTTAATTTGAGAACCTAAACAGAGAGAGCGAGACTGTTTTGCTGTACTGTGAACTCTCCGGAAGGGAAGAGGGGCAGGCAGGGAAGGGGGAGGGGAGGTATTGTCTTTTCTTGAAAAAAAAAAAAGGAGGGGAGGGGAGGGAGGGAAATCAAAAACACAGTGATGGGACGGGAAAGGAAGTGCGATCCAAGATCATCCGCGCAGGTCTTTCTCGCTACGAAGCCAAAAGGACCGGGAAGTGATGGAGGGGATGGACGAAAATTTGAGACTCCGTACGAGAGGAGAAAAGCAGGAAACGCACGTTTCGGTTGGGGTCTTTTTTTTTGCCCCGCCCGCCCGCCCCTTTGAAGGTATATCTCTCTCTTTTTTTTTGTTTCGTTTTCCTTCTTTTTTTTCTTCTTTTTTTCTGAATGGTCATTGGATTTACCGCCTGCGTCCCCTCTGGCAAAACTGGCAGGGCAGTACGATTGGGAGGCTGGGCGGGCGGGGGGAAAGTGGGGCGGGGGGGTGGGGGAAGAAGGGCCAGAAGGGGACAGGTCACGACTCCTCGTTGCCGGAATCATCGTCGTCGTAACAATCGGCGTCTTCCTCTTCCTCCTCCTCCTCGTCTTCGTCGTCGATGTCGTCGTCGTACAGGTCGTCGTAAAGCAAGTCGGAGCTGTTGTCGTTGGAAGGCACTTTAGTTTTGATGCAGTACTCGGCCAGCGTGGTGGGCACCTTCACACCGTCCTTCTCCGCCTCCGCCTTGGTGGCCTGCACTTGTTTCCTGCAAGGGGGAGGGCAGGAGAGATGAGGGGGGGAGGGTCAGCCTCCTTCCTCACCCGCCCACCCCCTCCACCCCTCACACGTTACACCCAGGTCTCCCTTGCCCCACGGATGTCAGCCACGTAGAGCCACCGCTTCCCATAGCCACATCCGAGGTCCCTGCAAACGCACGAGGACTCTCCTTACTACAGGTAGTCCTCGATTTACAACAGTTGGCTTAGTGACCGCTGAGGGTCAAAACGGCACTGAAAAAGGTGACTTACGACCGTATTCCACACTTACAACCTTTCCAACAGCTCCACGATCATGTGTTCAAAATCCAGAGGCTTGGCAACTGACTCCTATTTATGACAGTTGCGCTGTCCCGGGATCGAGTGATCCCATTTTGCGACTTTCCGACAACAATCAGGAGGGAAGCCGAGTTCACTTCACAATCGGGATACTAACTTTATCAACTGTAGCGATTTACTTAACAACCGAGGCAAGAAAAGTCGTAAAATGGGGCAGAGCTCACGGAACATGTCTCACTTAGCAACATAAAGCTGGGGGCTCCATTTGTGGGCGTAGGTTGAGGACCGCTTGTAATTCCAAGCCATGTGTTGGTCCAACTGGACAAAGGCTTGAGGGAGCTGGATCTCTCTGGTTCTGCCCGGCAGCCATTAGTGCCCCTGGATCAGGAGAGCTGAACCCCTTGGGCTGAGGGGTCTGGTCACTAGCAGGCGGGACAGAGGTCAAGAAACTCAGAGGAGAAGCTCAGGGTTTCTCTTCTGCCCCGGATATTTTTCTCTTCCTCTAGAATATCTGGAGCTCAGGATTGGACCGAGGGGTGCTCTCTGAGCTTGGAGGTTTTCTTGCAGGTGTTTCATCACCCAACTAGGTAACGTCATCAGTGCTAGAAGAGCGTGAAGTTCATGGAGAGGAGGAGGACTGCGATATTGGGTGTACCGAGATACACCCATGTTACACCTATCCTCCGCGAGCTGCACTGCCTTCCTATTGGTCTTCGAACGCGCTTCAAGGTGCTGGTTATCACCTTTAAAGCCCTACATGGCCTAGGACCCGGATATCTGCGGGACCGTCTTCTGCCGCATACCTCCCAACGGCCGATAAGATCTCACAGGATGGACCTTCTCCAGGTGCCGTCAACCAGACAATGTCATCTAGCGGCTCCTCGGGGGAGGGCCTTCTCTGTAGCTGCCCCGACCCTATGGAACGATCTACCCATAGAGATCCGGACCCTCCCCACTCTCTCGGCCTTCTAAAGGCTACTAAAATCTGGCTGTTCCGGCAGGCCTGGGGCTGTTGACCTCACGAATGAGGTCCAGCCCCGCCTAGATTGAGTGCATGAAGTGTTTTTTTTTAATCTGCTTTTCTTCTCTATTTTTTAATTTTTATCCTTTTAGAGATGTATTTCTGTAAGCCGCCCGGAGTCCTTCGGGATTGGGCGGCATATAAATTCATTAAATTTGAATTTGAATTTGACTGTGGGGGCCCTCTCTGAGCTTGGCTGTTTTCTTGCAGGTGTTTCATGGCCCAAGTAGGTAACATCATCCAGTGCTTAAATAAGAGTGGAGAGGAAGAGGAAGAAAGAGGAAGAGGAGGAGGAGGATTGTGGCGTCCTTAGTGGTTTTCCTGCAGCTGTTTCATGGCCCAAGTAGGTAACTTCATCAGTTGCTAGAAGGGTGTGGGGTTTGTGGAAGAGGAGGAGAGCAACTGTGGGGCGCCTGTGGCTTCCTGAGCTTCGTTCTTTTCCTACAGACGTTTCGTGACCCAACTAGGGAACATCATCAGTGCTAGAAGTCCCCCAGTGCTTTCCAGCACTGCTGATGTTAATAACCAGTCAGTCGTTGGGGGCCATGAAACATCTGAAAGGAACAAGAAAGTGCAGAGGCACCAAGGACTCCACAATCGTCATCATCATCTCTTCCTCCTCCTCCTCCTCCTCTTCCCCCCTCCCTTCTAGCCAGCGGTGAAATCTAATTTCCCACCCCACCAATTCTGTGGGTGTGGCTGGGGAGGGGTTGTCATGTGACGGGGTGGGCGTGGCCATCTTTTTTTTTCACTTTCAGCTGTGTTTTTTTTAAGCTTTTTAAAGCATTTTTAAAATTCTTTAAAAAGCTAAAAACAAAATAGCTTCCGATGATCACACGACTCAGCTGCGAGCCGCATAATCGTCGGAAACTTTTTAAAAAGCTTCCGACAATCTGAAGCGTCAGGGAAAAAATGCACTAAAAAGAAGGGGGGGGGGCTTCTGACGATTGCGTGGCTCACAGCTTTTTTTTTTAAACTACCGGTTTACAAAACCAAGGAGAATCGGGCTGAACCGGGAGGATTTCCCCCCTGCTCCTAAGTGATGTCTTCTAGGGCTCATGAAACGCCTGCAAAGAAACCACCAAGATCCGGGAGCCCCAAACGGGCTCCCCTTCTCCAGCAGCCGCTCCCGCCTTAAGACTTACCGGATGATTTCCGCGTATTCTTTGTCTTTCCCTTTGCTGTCCCTCCATTTCCTGAACATGACGGAGGCGTCCACGTTTGCCGGAGAGAAGGTGTTGGGCTCATTAAGCAAGGAGATTACGCTCAGTAGGATCGTCCTGGGGAAAGAGGAGGAGGAGGAGAAACTGAACTCAGAGCTCAGCACACCTAAGCAGAATACCGTGTTTCCCCCAAAATAAGACAGGGCCTTATTTTCTTTTGACTCCCCCGAAATAAGAGCTTGGCCTTATTTTCGGGGAGGTCTTATTATTTTTGAGGTGCAGGAGGCGGTAAGCGTGGTCACCTCATGGCTGCTGCTGTGTTGCAGTATTTTCGGGGAGGGCTTATTTTCGTGCATGCGCTCAAAAGCCCGATTGGGCTTATTATCCGGAGAGGTCTTATTTTCAGGGAGATTGGAAGGGATCTTGGAGATCTTCTAGTCCAACCCCATTCAAGCAGGGGACCCTATATAACAGTGGTTCCCAAACTTGGCAACTTTAAGACTTGTGGACTTCAACTCCCAGAATTCTCCAGCCAGCTCTGGTGATCCCCTTTTTGCGACCTTCTGACTAGCAAAGTCAACGGGGAAGCCTGGCTCGCTTAACAACCGGGCGACCAACTTAACGAAGGCAGGGATTCACTTAACAACGGAGGCAAGAAAGGTCATACGATGAAGCCAGGCTCGCTGAACAAATGTCTCACTTAGCCACAAAAATCGTGGGCTCTACTCTGGTCGTAGGTTGAGGATTACCTGTTATACTGCGTGCTGAAATTTGCTTTTTTCAAGGGAAAAACTAAGCCCAAATGCAATCTTTTATCAGTTTTGCAAAACGGCGTTTTCGCACGGTCCAGTTTTTTGAGCCCCCTTCTGAAGAGCCCCTGCACAATGCACATCCCCTTGAGCCAAGAAGGGCCCTGTGCAAAATGGGTCAGTCATCCTGTTTTGCGGTTTCTCTCTCCTTGTTTAGCACAGCAACTGTGGCTCTGGAGCCGCATGTGGCTCTTTCGTCGCTCCGCTGCGGCTCCGTGTCGCCGGTCTGCTCCACAATTGGTAGGAATTTCGGTTAGGACAGGTAGCAGAAAAAGTACGCCGCACTAGGAGAAGACTCTACGGTGGGAGAACCAGACTTCCGGTCGGCCTCAGAATTGAGCGGGGGGCTTCCGGTTAGGACCTTTGTGGCTCTTTGAGTGTTTAGGGTTAGCAAATACCTGGCATCTCTGAATCGTGACGGGCAGGATGAACTTCAAAGATGATTTGGGTTATTTTTCTGAATGGCGGGTTAGGGGCGGCGCGCATGGAGGTGGGTGGGATGGAGGAGCCTCCCTGGACTCTACAGGTAGTCCTCGACTTACAAAAGTTCATTTAGTGACTATTCGAAGTTACAACAGCCCTGAAAAAAACTGACTTAGGGCCGTTTTCTGCACTTACAGACATTTCTCACACTTATGACCACTGCAGCTTCCCCACGGCCATGAGATCAAACTTTTGGGTGCTTGGCAACTGACTCACATCTACGACCGTTACGGTGTCCTGGGATCCCCTTTTGCGACCATTGGACAAGCAAAGTCAAGGGGTGGGAAGTTAAATTCACTTAATAACCGTGTCACTAACTTAACAAGCGCAAATGATTCGCTTAATAATCGTGACAAGAGAGGTTTGTAAATTGGGGCAAAATTCACCCAACAACTGTCTCGCTTAGCAAATTGAAACTTGGGGCTTGATTGTGGTCGTAAGTCGAGGACTACTTGTACTACAGTTGGGTAGAAAGACATTCTCGGCCTCGGAGGGTCTTACCTGACATTCTGGGTGGGGTTCCACCTTTCCGATGGCAGTTCTCCACTTTGAGGATCATCTACAGGTGGGTGAAGAATTGAAATACATACATCCCCATTCTATGGAAAGAAAAGTGGACAGTGGGTATGAAGAGAGACAACGAAGTTAAACTACGCAGCAAACAGACCACGCACAAAAATCCACCCCCAACTCTGCCTATTCCCTAAAGTTCAAGCGCAAACTTCAAGCAAGGCACACAGATTGCTACACACACACACAGCTGCAGGCTCTACATCCCAACACATCTGGGGTTTACAGTACTTTACAGGACTCAATGTGGCCTTTCAGTCTCAGTCGGAATAGAGCTGGAGGGGCCCTTGGAGGTCTTCTAGTCCAGCCCCCTGCTCAAGTAGAAGACCTTGTACCATTCTGGGATAAAATGATTGTTCAATCTCGCCTTGAAAACCTACAGTGATGGAGAGCTTCTGGAAGCAAGCCATTCCACTGATTAATTACCAGAATAACAGGGTTAGAAGGGGCTGTGGAGGTCTTCTAGTCCAACCCTCTGCTCAAGCAGGAGACCAATTCAGACAAGGGGCTGTCCAGTCTCTTCTTAAAATCCTCCAGTGGTGAAGCATCCGTAACTTCTGAAGGCAAGCTCCTCCACAGGTTAATGGTTCTCACGGTTAGGAAGTTTTCTCCAAGTTGTGTTCTTTGTAGCTATATGTGGGCTTCTCATCACTTACATCCCACAACTTCAAAGATTAGATCCCACAGATTAGGCCTCCTCCGGATACCATCAGCTAGCCAGTGTCGACTGTCGACCACCCGGGGGAGGGCCGTCTCTCTGGCTTCTCTGGCCCTCTGGAACGATCTCCCCGTGGAGATTCGGACCCTCACCCCCCTTTCCGCATAG